CCGGGCGCCCTCCCCGGCGCTGCCTTTGCTCCCTCCCCTCTGATCATGTTGACATATTCACACGGCCCGGAGTACTAGTGATGCTTTGCTGCAGCGTTACAGTTTCCGACACCTTCTTTTTATAACTCGGCTCTGTCCCCCTTCCACTCGACCTGTCAAAACCACGCCTATGGAGCCACACAATTGGTCCGAAAGCGTCAAAGAGCCAATCAAGGAGGCTCCAGCTCCCTTGTAACCCACAACACATCCATACAATCTGGTGCACGCAGAGCACAGACTCACAGGGAATTCTCAGAGCTGAGAGGCTCCTTCTCCCTCTCTCTCTCTCTGTCCTCACAACTAAGACAGGACTGAGAATGCTGCTGGTAACAGAGGGGTTAACCACTCCTCCTGTAGCCTAGCAGTGGCTGGCCCGGCATCCTTCCCTATCCCTTTAATCGTATCTGATACAGAGTCAAGGCTGGGGAGGGGAGGCTGGTAGGGAAAAAAGAAACCATAAAAAAAAAAAAAAAAAAAGGACAAGAAAAGGAGCAGGGTGAAAGAAAGAAGAGATCCTGATGGAAATCAGGACACCCTGACCAGCTCCTGCTTGGAGAGGGGGGAAGGAGAGGCGGAAACGAGATTTCCCTACAAGTTTTTTGCTGCTGAAGGTTGCTCAGGAGCCTTCCTCGGCCGGCGAGGGGGGGTGGGTTTGTTTGCTTCTTTCTGCTTTCCCTCCCTTCCCAGCCTCTGCTCTGCAGCCTGACCGTACGGAGGAAAGGTGGAGGGGTGGGGGGGAGGGGGGGGGGAGAGCCAGCCACCCAAAAAGAAAACCCAGCTTCGAGCCGTCACCCTCCGCCACGAAAGAAGAGAAGGGGGATCGAGACTAAGAGAAAAAAGAAGAAGAAGAAAAAAAAGGATCTCGGCTTGTCCAGCCCTTCTTCTGCGGCAACAGGAACAGACAGCGAACCCGGTGGATTTTTTTTTTTCCTCCCCTTCTTCGGCGTTTCTTTTCCAGCGCAAGGACTTCCACTCAGGAAAAAAAAACCAACAACACAACCAACCAACCAACAAACCTGCAGAGACCACACCCAAAAAAAAAAAAAAAAAAAAAAGCAAGACTAATAATGAACAATCCTGTTAATCCGCTGTCCCGAGGGCTGGGGATGTGCCCCGGCTCGGGAAGTTGTAGGCTGTAGAAGTTCTGCCTCTCCCCCATGTACTGTGCTGTCTAGAGCTTGTTTTCCCCCACCCTATTTTATATATAGAATTTTTTTTTTTTTTGGTGCTTTATTGCTGTTATTGTTATTATCTTAATTTTTCTTCTTCATGATGTGCTGTTAGAAACCACTCCGGGACTACTCCAGCAGTAGGAAGACCGAGGAGTGGAGTGGATGAATATACCGATGAGAGATCCAGTAATCCCTGGGACAAGCATGGCTTATCATCCTTTTTTACCTCACCGGGCACCGGACTTTGCCATGAGCGCTGTTTTGGGACATCAACCTCCCTTTTTCCCGGCTCTGGCTTTGCCCCCCAACGGGGCGGCCGCCCTTTCTCTTCCCGGGGCTCTGGCTAAACCCATCATGGATCAGTTAGTGGGGGCTGCAGAGACTGGTATCCCCTTTTCTTCCCTGGGTCACCAGGCAGCAGCCCATCTGAGGCCTTTAAAAACTCTGGAGCCCGAAGAAGAGGTGGAAGATGATCCGAAAGTGCATCTGGAGGCCAAAGAGCTTTGGGAACAATTCCATAAAAGAGGCACGGAGATGGTGATTACCAAATCGGGAAGGTAGGTCTGGGGTCGGGGGTCCGTGCCTTCTCCTCCCCCCTCCACCCCACTTTTTTTCCCCCCTATCCCTCAATCTCTGCACCCCACCTGGCTGCTGCAGAGCAGGGCTCTTTCGCTGACAAATTCCTCCGTAAAGCTGCTTTCCCCCGGAATTTTGGAAAGTTTTAGGCAGCTGAAGAGCCGAGCCCATCTCGGGCAACCGGGCTGCAGGGAAAAAAACTCAACCGGTGACCCCCGAACCGGCCCTGCTCAGCGGGTGCGGGGGGCGAGGGGGGTCCCTTCACAGTTCAGTAGCTTAAGACTTTCTGAAGAAGACGGGGAGTGGAAAGAAAATGATTTGGGGTTGGAAAAGAAGCTGGCCTGATACGCGTAGGGTTTTTTCCTTAAGCTAGAGAAGGGGGAATAAAGGGAAAAAATAAAATATCTGAGGCAGGAGCTGCAGGAGGGCAGATGGGCTGAGTTTATCAGTTGCTTGCCTTCTGCCTGTCGCTCTGCTGGGATCTAGGCTTGCTTTTGTGCCGACTCAATTCTAGCTGGAAAGGCACAAAAAAAAGCTGACAGAGCCACCCGGCGCGGTGGCAGGGAAGGTTTCGCAGCCCGCGCTGCCTGTCCCTGCGTTTGTGTAACCTTCACGTGGGGAATGAATGAACCTTCACGCCGCGTCCACCCTCGCCATTTCTGCTTTTTATTGGGTTTACCCCACCGAAATCCCTCTCTGTAGGCGCTGCTGGCCGATATCCCTGCTCTTTTCCTCCTCTGCCTATTGCTGTGATGACACGCAGGGAGAAAAAACCCCTTTTTCCCAACCGGGTGTGTTTTGGTTGCTTGCTTTTTTTTTTTTTTTTTTTTTTTTTTTCTCGAAGGGACTCTCTTCGAAACCTCCCAAACAATTCGCGTGTAATTTGCCAGCAGAATTACTCGAGGAAGCCACTCCTGAAAAGTCTTCTTAGATGGCCTTCAGCTGGCTCTCGCTGGAGCTTCACCTCCTTGCAGAGCACCAGTTGCAGGCTACAGGCTAAGGGAAAGAAAAGAGAGGAAAAAAAAACCCCAAAACACAACAAACCTAGAAGCAGCAAGGAGGGGAAAAAAAAAAAAAATAAATCCCTTCTCCCGTTTTACTGCTCTGCCGAAGTTTTCCCTGCTAATTGTGGTCAAAAGTTTTTTTTGCGCGGAAGCCTCGGCGAGAACTGAGCGCTCCTTACATGTTGCAAAAAGTCATGTGTTTCCTTTTAAGTTGAGATTGCTGAATGCCAACCGCTCGATATAATAAACAGCAAATTTGTGGTATCCTGTTGCAGTTGGGAGCTGGGCTTGGAGGGGAGAGGGGTTTAGCAGGGAGCCCTCCCCACAAACCGGGGGGTCACCGGGAGGCTTGGAGCCTCGGGAAAGCCACGGTAGCCACCCTGCCCTCTGCTCTGGGCTTGGTT